GTTCGAGACGCGTCGGAGACGGGTTCGAGACGCGTCGGAGACGGGTTTGAGACGACCACAGCAAAGTGAAGACGCAGAGATGCCTGTGACGACTCGGGACTACTTTAGAGAAGCTTTGCACAAATTTGAGACGACTTCTAGACGAGTCACTTTACGTTGTCAGTTTTATTGAACATGTTCATATCTCTGGCAACAAGACTGCAGACCTTGTGTTGTGTGACGTTTTCTGCCTCCTTTGCAAATGCCATTAGCCAACGAGTCTCCAGCAGCCGCAGCCCGGTGCAACGTCGCTTTCAGAGTGTCCTGTCGTCAATATGTACAGTGAGTACCGTTCACGTTTTCCTGGGAACGCTTCCCTTCAGCTTTTTGCCTTTATGAGTGTAGTATATCGGGACTGCACGCTGGAGTTATGGTGACGTTAACTTTTCAGTTCGGTTTTTAAATTTGGGATTTGAGTTCATCCATAGCTGGTTCTGTACTGCATGTTTGACCAGTACCGGAGTGTAGCATATAGTTCGCATATATGCAACCCACCCGTTTGTGAGGAACACCGACGCTTTTATTTTACGCACGCCCCAAAACTGAAAGCGTATTTGCCTTAAAGTGGGATTATTTCTATTGTCAGGTATTTATAGAAAATCTGCTTTTTTTTTAATTCTGCTGTTACGTTTGGTGTACCGCTCGGAAACCGTTCAGGGTCGTTACGTTTTGTCTCGTTTCCTTCAGACACCAGAGCATTTATTTATTTGTAGAAACGAGCAGGAATTAGACGGTACGTGTCGGAACGTGCGCTCTGCTGCTGGTATTTAGGAATTCTTGCCGTAGATTATATTTAGATGCTCTATTGTACAGATTTTATTTTTAACCTCAAGAAACGAGGTTTAGATGATCCATTAACCGTCGGGGGCAGAATAATGAAAATCAAGACGAACCATGACCGTGTTTTTGAGTGTTGTCGTGTTTATATCCAGAGGTAAAGGTCAGCTGTTTCCTGTTTTGTTTTCGTCACTCCACCAGCAGGTAAGATATTATTTTTCTGGTTGAAACAGTTTCGGCTGCTGATGGTCGGAGGTGGTTTTTAAGTTTTCACACTGGAGCGTTGTATCATTCCTGGTTCTTCTGTCCAAACGCTGACGTCATAATTTGCTGAGTCTTTTCGTTACGACTTTTATTTGCACTGTAAAAGCACATTTTTCCTCCGAGCACTGGCGTTCACGTTGTCGTCATGTCCTCCTCCATATGACTGTTTTCAGTGTATTGTATACTAAAATATTCTATTTATTATCTCCTGTGGGTGTGTTTAATAAAAAGTGCATTTTACACGTCGTCTCGAGAAGCTCCTTTGGAATAAAAAAAACAAAACGTTAAATAAAGTAAGAACTCGTTAGTTTTGGTCTGCAGCAAAATACTTTAATAGAAAATGACAATAATTAAGAAGTTGCATTTAATATACAAAAAGTTGAACTGAACTAAAGTCCCATGAAAAACTTTATTACAAACTGTTTCGTGAAAGAAAAGCGGCAGCTCCGTCACGGCTCGTTGCCGTTGACGCTCCTGTGCTGCTCCAGCCGACTCCTGCGCAGCGTCTCCATGTGTTTGGCTCGAGCCCAGACGTCCCGGGACAGAGACGTCTGTCCCAGGCTCAGAGACAACAACCTGCGGACAAACTCCGTCAGCAACAACTCGCCTCCCATTAGATTAGAGCGTCGCACGTGTTGTCGGAAAGCGAACGCGTTTAGCATCGTGAAATTGATCCGAATGTTTCAAAGACGGACACGTCTGGTCGTTCAAGGTTCAGAGAAGATGTGAAAACATGATGAAGCTACGGTGGCTCTGCTGGGACAAAAGGCAGCAGCTGCCGACTCTCTGGCACTTCAGCCGTTTTAAAACGAGGTTCTACAGAAAGGTTATGAACGTCCTACCTGCAGCAGATGATGTTCACGTCCAACAAGCTAAAATTGAAGTGGATCACCGAGTTTTAAAACTCAATCTTTAACATTTTACAACCAGACGTGAAAGGTTTTAATGTTTTTAACTTTTACACGAGCATTAGTTTATTAGAGATCTCTTCAAAATAATTGTTCTGCTTTAGCTACCAGCTCTGTCCTAACCTGCCCTTTCCTGCTTTTAGCTACTTTCACTTGTAGCTAAAGTTTCACTACGTTTAGTTCTTGGCTAACGTTCTGCATATTTAAATTACTTTCAGCTTCCAGTCAGTCTTTATACATTTAGCTTTTAGATAACCTTCATTGTTATTTAAACTTTTAGCTAATGTTCAGCTACCTACATCTTTTACTCAGCTTTAAAAAAAAGTTTAGTTACTTTTAACTTTTGCTGCTTTCAGGTTTCAACTTACCTTTTGCTACTTTAAGCTTCTAATGTTTTGTAGCATTTAGCTTTAAGCTAATGCTCTGCTTCTTTTAGCTTTAGCTCAGTTTCAGCTTCTTCAGCCGTCCTTCAGCTTGTTATTCATAACTTCCACTGGAACCCACTTCAAAATGGCTGAACTGTCCCTTTTAGAGGCTGAATGAAACTAACATTCAGGTTTAGGGGCGGGTGACGATTCAGCTCACCTGGCCACGACGAGCATCCTGTGGAGGTCCTCGGCCGAAACACCCTGGGGGTCGTCCTTCCTCATGTCCACAAAGTCATCTTCAACCGACTGAGGAGGCACAAAGACGAGAGCTTTAAAGAAAACCTGTCTCCTGCTGACGAGGACAAACGTGGGACGGGATCCTCGGACCGTCGGGTCTCACCTTCGTCACTTCGTCCGGGATGCTGTAGTCCAGCAGCCGGGCGGCGCTCAGGTACATCCTGAACTTGTTGAGCTGCGACGAGGCCTGCGGACCCTGGACGCCGCTGACGTACTCCTCCACGGTGAACGGGGCCACTTGAGGCTGGAGGTGGACGCGACAATCGGACTGAGGAGACAGAGGACAGCCGCTCTGAGACACGGGGACGTCCTGCATCAAAGTGTTGACATAAAACTGGTTCCGGCCTCGCTGCCTCCACCGGACCTCAGAGGTCCAGCTGCTGTTCGGTGGGACCGCCTTTAACAGAGCAGCAGCTCTGGAGACAGGTGTGTGCTGGCACAACACCAAGGCGGAAAGACATCAGCAATGACCTCCGAGAAGCAGCTGTTGGTGCCCGTTAATCTGGGAGGGGTCAAAGGTCATTTCCAAACTCGTCCATCGTTCTACAGAGATTATTCACAAGTTTAAATACAGCTGTCAATCTTGACAGCAGATTCACCCTGAAGGTCAGACAGTGCAGAGACTGCAGGTCAAAGGTCATGACCTGTCTAAAAACATGGCAGCACCACTGAGGTTTGTAAAGTTTCATATGAAGGACCCACAAGACTTCTGTACCAGAACCAGACCAGAGGTCAGATGTTTACCCAGAATGCACTGCAGCAAACAGCTGTCAGCACGAGGGTGGAGGCTGATGGTTCGGGCTCCTGTCAGTCACTGGGTGGACCAGGAGACCAAAGGGTTCTGGAGTCCCAACAGCTGAAACTTGGACCAAACTGGGTCCAACAGAACCATGATCCCAAACCCAGCAGCTGACTTACAACAGAACGGGTCAGAAAAAACAGAACCAAGGTACAGTCAGAGTCCAGAACCTCAACCTGACTGATGCTGTGGTGGACCTTCAGAGAGCTGAGCAGAACTCCTCCAGAACCATGAGGCCAGTACTGGAAACCACAGGGGGTTCTGCAACTGTAGGAGGTTCTACAGCTGCTGGGTCAGAACTGGAAACCGGTTTAGTTTAAACGACTCAGGATTCTGATGTTTTTCAGAACCGGGTCAGACCTGTGGGTTCGGGCAGAAAAACCTTCAGGTCCAAGAGGAGCTCAGGCACCGCGAGACGTTTGACCTCACAGCCGACAGTCTGGACTTCTGCGGAGCCGTGGGCGGCGCTCTGCTGCATGACGGCGCCCGGCTGTTGCCATAGCAACTCATCAGAGCCGCTGCCACGAATAGCACGCGGCGCATTCCTCAGGCGACGGAGCGACGTGCCAGCTGGGGGGTGTGGGTCTGAACGGCAGCTGGGGTGTCGCCTGACCACGGCTGGAAACCCAACCCTTCCATGGCCACGCCCAGGGGGCGGGGCTTCATATAGGAGGGAGGGGGTCCCTGCAGCCCGGCTCATTCAGTCTTTGCTCTCACCGGCAGCAGCGAGCGGCCCTCGGACACCACGAGCACGTTGATGTTGCAGGGGAACTCCATCTGATGGTAGTTGAAGTCGTAATCGACCTTCTGCCACGAGATCACGTTCCCCAGAGCCGTCACGTTACGCACACCTGCAACACACACACACAGGTGTCAGCGTCACGTCACACACACCTGCAACACACACACACACA